CATACCTTGGTTTCAAATCCCATATGGCCTTCAATACCATTTATGGTATCGAAGAACATTGTTTAACTCCATTTGGTAAGATAAAAAAAAAATAATTTGAATTAGCTTAGTACCTATAAACCAGAGTAAAAAATTTCCCGAAAAACTGCAGTAAACCTAAAATAATTTTAAACAATACTATAAAAAATTAACTGTTTCCTAAAAAAATGTATTTCCCAAATGGATTATAATATGTAAGTAAACCTTATCAGAGAAGATTTAATTAAATAAGAGCAAGGTTACATGATTAAATTTAAATTATCTATAAAAAATATAAACTTGTTATCGCATAATACTGCTATAAGCTATGCAAGCGATAATTTCGAACTCAAGGCAATACAATATTATAATTAGGCAATAAATCTAGTGATTTCGTTTTAAGGTATACGGTAACATATTCGCACATTAGAAATAATTGCTGTAATTGAATAACACTAGTCAGTGGTAATTTAAAGTAATATAGATCAGTTCATAATTACTTGAATATAAATCAACGCTGACTGGAGTCTTGGTGAACTTGACCAATGATGCCGAGTTTATTTCAGCGTGAAGTATGGAAATTTATGTCAATATTGGACATATCATGTTTCAAATCTCAGTTTCCAAATTAAGTTATTATATATTTCTAGAGGCTTCAAAGTTTTTACTGATTGCGTTTATGCAATAAAAGTTTATGAATAACTAAATTATGATTTTTTATTAGGCATATACCTACCTGTATTTGCAATAAGTCAAACAATTTTGCGGCAAATGTATTTTTTTATAACTTATATTGTTCTATATAAAAAGGAAATTATTATTGTTATCTATATTATCTCAAAAATAACAAAGATTTTGATGTAGGCAATTAATATTACCAATTGTCAATAAATTTAACTCGTGTATATGAATAACAGAAAAAATCTTGTATCCCTTGAAAAAAAGTCGTAAAACATTTGTTTGTTGCGTATGTACGTAACTCTGCTTGTTTACAAGAAAACTTGTTCAAAGACATGTTAATTGCATATGTTTTGCAACCACTATAGTAATTTAAATTACTGTAAAACATTTAAGCGACACGAGAAGTTGCCACCTGGACTTATCTGGATTTCTAATGCAATGTAAATTATGACTATATAAAATAGCTATAATTTTAGGTTTTTTTACAGTGAGGTGAAAAAATTAGATAAATGAGCATTTGCAATAGGATCAGGCATAAATAGCTTTCTATGAATATTTGATAAAGAACAAAGGTATCAAAATTGTGTATTTTGGATGCTTTATATAATAAATATGAAGGATCTTTCCTAAACTGACCATACTTACTCGCAGAAAGTAAAAATTTTGATAAATGTAATGTTTAAACTGCTTTAAATGAAATGAACAACTTTAGATGTTTGATTTTTACATATTTTTTAGTTTAATTAAACCAAGAAATGATTTCCTGAACTTTAGTAGACCATTTCAATGTCAGGAAATAAAGTTATCATTGTCCTGGTGAAAACACTACAGTTTACTGCATATCTAATATGTTCAATGATGTGCATTAATTACAAATGTGTATTAATATCAATTATTAATAATCATTCACTAATAATCAGTTTTCGGTAACAGCTTTCAAATAAGATTTCGATTTATCTTTAAGACTGTCGTTTTGTAGACAAGAAATCACACTTTTAGTAAAGTCTAGTGATATAACAAGTGAATCCATTCAGGAAGTGACAAAGCATAACGCTAAACTAGAGCAACTTCTATAATTTTTCGCATTGAGAGATCACAGAGAACATGTGTTTTGTTCCGGAAATTTGTAGCTTTTTTCCTTATTTTGAATGTATTGTCAGATGCCTTACACCTTACAGAAAACTTATATAACTGATACAGTGAAGAGATACTGTTCTAACTTGTTCATATTTTCTAAAATCTGGACAAAAAATTGCACCCCTTAAAGATAATTTCAGTACTTCTTTTCTGAAAATTTTCTTTCCACTTTATTGTGAAAATGTATATATGGTCAATATTTCTCAAATATTATAAAACAATGTTAGAATAATAATACACACGATCTCCTTATTAAGTATGCGATTATAAAGGTGTTCTACGTTATAAATCTTATTATAAATGGTTTGTGTAACATATTAGGAATAAATATAAATACAGGACGCGCATTTCAGCACAGTTTACATTTTTATTCAAACGGTCACGAACGTGACATTCAAGAGGTGTAGTAAATTGGAAACTAACTATTACGGCGGAAAATATATCTAGTGTGTTAAATTTGTTATAGTGAAATAAACAGTGTCAAATGTCGTTCTTACTAAAAAATATCTCAAAATATATTCGGAAAAGAATGGAAACCGATTCTCATTAAATGGTTTAAGTACAATTTAGCCTCAAAGAAAATTATATTTTTTTAATTTTTAAGAAGTCTCTGTCACTTTCTATATTTGAATTAAAAATGGATAAAGGCTTAATTTTAACTAAAATATATTCCTAGATCACTTTGTTATAAACCTATTATTATTATTGTAGAAATGAAGGTCTTTTATGAAATTTTCGTTTATTTACTGTGAAAAGTCATGTCGTTAAAATACATAGTTCCAGAGAAAATTTAATTTCAATTTTCTACTGTTAATTACAGACAGCTGAATTTTTTGACACTTTAGTCTAATAAAAATTGATTGTTGGCTAAATTTGTAGCTACATTCCTTTGCCTTCAAATGTTAGCCCTTAAAATATGGTTTCGTGAAACAGCTAGAAGAATGTATCACAATAGGCTTTTACATCTGAATAAAGGCAAGTTAGTTTAAATTGTAAGAAATATTCAATAGTGTTACAAACTTAATGAAAGGATGAAGTTTAGTTACCTCCAAATATTTAGCTTTGCATAACTAATAACTGCGACAAAAAAATTAGATCCATTTTGATGCAGAACGATGAATTTTATTCATAATTTTGTTTTTTATAGTTAATAACAAAAAAAATGTAGTAAAAAGAAAACAGTCATATATATATTTTAATGACATCTATGTTCAATTTTGCGCTACCACAAAAATCTGCCCTTACCAAATTTTGTTAAGATATTAAAAAAATAACAGAGTTATCTTAAAATATTGAAACAAAACTTATTTGCAAGCCCATTACTTTTTAAGGAAGCAAAATTGCACTTAGGTAACTATCACAATCGATTTGTTTTCGCTAAAGGAAACTAGCGAAATAATTACGAAATATGAGATAATTATTTCCAGTCGCCCAGTTTACAAGAATCTGAATTTTTGTGAAGTTCAGTTATCAGTAGAAATATTTGTTGTAGTAATTTGATATGTTTACTATATCAAATCAAATTATACATATACATAGGTATAGACATTTGCATTTACCTCAATTTTGTTGCAATTAATTTGTAATGCACAAAATCTTATAAATTATAACGAATCAAGTCAGATGTTGATCTCATTATTACATAATGTATACAGACACAATTAGTACTTACATTAATAAAAGTTTATCATTTAAATGGGTAGAAGTCAAGTTGGATTCAATATGTTAATTTAGTCGGTTTTAACACATTTTCTTTAAGACAATATTACCAATTAAAGATATTTTGTAATATTCGGACGTATATAAATTTTCGTGTATATGCAAGGAGCTTAAATAAATAAAATAAATTGGCAGGTAATCATAATTTGAGATTCATGGTAGTTCGACCAAAATTTGAAAAAGAAAAATGATCATTTTAAAAGAAAATTTAATAAATTCGATCTTACATAAAACACGTGTATCGAATAATAATTATTGATGACTGCCAATACTTATTTAAAGACAGTTTTCAGTTCTAAAAACGAAATAATATCCATTTTAGAAAAGGCTATAGTTAAAGTGATATAGTGATGTGTATTTTTTGTTTTATTTATTTCATGCTCCAAATATGACACTTTTTGTTGGCTAAAAATAGTTTCACATAGAAACAACTTTTGACCTATTTTTTTGACAAATGTTGGTTCCATTAAATTAAAATATCCAAATAAAGTAAAAAAAATATTTTTATACATTCATCAAAAGCAATAGCGAATATTCAGCTCTGCATTTTTGTACCGAAGAGATAAATAGAAAAAATTGGTGAAATAATATGTCGTTTTTTAAAACTGCATTGTTTTTTGCAAATATTATGAAAAAATACATGTTTTACATAAACCATTCTTTATAAATAGTTTGAAACAGCATTCAACTATTTTTGAGTACATGAGTACTGTAAATTTCCTGGTTCTAAATATTCTAAAGTCATATGACTTAAAAATCGTTAAATTAGATGTTGAATTTTGATATTAATAATAGCGTACGAGAGTTAACAATATATATATAATGTACAGTGTGATATTTAAAATATATTTTGCATTACTTCCGGTTATACCGAATATCGAAATAAATAATTATGGATTAACATAAAAGACTTCATGAAATTTCAGAATTTTGTCCTCTTAAATAAAGGAATTACATTAATTTTTCTTACACAGGTTACAAGACCCCCTATTTTCAAATTTCTAATCAGAATTTGTATTTTTAACTATTACATGGGAGGAAATATTTTACTGTAACAAAATTAGATTATCGTTATTTATATTAATTTGTATTACATAAGTAGGTATAGTAGGTATAGTACATTATTATTTTTTCAATCTCTAATATCTTTTTAAAAATTAAACTTTATTGAATGTTGTACAGTGACTGGCAGTTGCCATTTTTTATGTAACAAAATTCCAATTAAAGGTAAATTTTATCATTCAAAAGTAAGTAATACAATTTAACTTTAAAGGAAGCATTTAAATTGTGGTTTAGGGATTTTAGCATCGGAGTCACTTATTTAAAAAAAAAATAGCTTTTCTAACGAATATTTTGTCTAATAGTCTAATTAACCTATTTTGAAAATTGAATACTGATGACCGAAAATTAATACATTATGTATAACACTATGAAAAAATACTTACCAACTTGACAAACGCAGCAAACGCCATAGCGAAGAAGAACCACTCGCACTAATTGAGATATTTTTCAGCAAATCTCGACCGATGAGGTGAAAACTGCTGAAATAATACCGGCGATATAATATTCAATCTTTATATACCGGCGCGCCCTGCTCAATGCTGACCAGTTCGCAAGAAAAACATTCCTGCATTCGTTGTACTATACCAACATGCTTCTCTTAACGTTAACATTCGCACCATGTGCTTAATTAAAACATTTAATTTATACTTTATGGGCTCACTCTGAAATATATGAGCATTAACGGGATTTCGATAGCTGATAACTTTTTTCAGGTATTATGTATTATTATTAATATTCAGTATGTTATGTGATTTATGAATACTCTATTTCATTTATGCATAAATATATAACAGAGCTGTATCCTTTAGAATCAGTAAGTACCTTCGGTATCCGGTATGGATGCAACTTTATTGCTTGCAATAAATTATTGCTGGAAAGCTTTTTGTCATAACTATTTCACATGTATTCTGTCTCGTTCTAATAGATAGTTACCAATAGAGCTAATAGCAATAAAATTTCAGCCATTTGAAAAACTTGAATATGGATTTACAAAGCGAATAAAAGTTTTCTTTATATTTCTTCTTATAACAATGAAGTAGAAGTAAAATTTCAGTTATTTAAGATGAGATTCATTTTTATATGTTCGATAAATTCAGCCACTGACTGAAGAACCATTTTAAATTTAAAATATGAGAAGCCTTCGTTTGAGACAGAATAACATAGGGACATAAAAGTCATCTGTTCCATGGATGAGGCCTACGTGGATGCCCAGAAACCGAATCTGGGATCATTTTTTTGAATTGTTAAAAACAACCTCTGAAAACTAATCTGTCAAACTCTGCATTTATTAGGTTTATCCAGGGGTATAGCAATGAAAATGAGCCAACGCATCATATTCGTGGTGTCCAATGCATATATAGGGTATTCAAAGATTCAATTGACCTTTGCTTCTGACGAACATCGGAAAACCATGCCTAAAACCTAAAAATCAGCTAAAATTCTACATTCAGCGGATCAACTCACAAACTCAACCCCCCAACCCAAAATACATAGGCATAGGTATAGATGACATGGCATACGTTTTAGTCTGGTATGTATAGATTAGTCAACAAAATACCTGATGTTTTAAATACTTATAACAATTTTCTTTCGAGTTCCAGTACTGTTCAAAATCCGTTTAAAAATGTAGATTTGATCACTCCTAATGCCTAAGGACCTGTTCATAGAAACTTTTTTTACTTATTTTATCCAAGCATTTATACCACACTGAAAAGTACTATACATGAAACACATAACTGTTCGAAGATCTTTCTGTTTTCATTTCCAAAACTCAAAATCAGTTATTTTCTCAGAGTAAGATATTTCTGATTAGGCAAAACTAAAGGACCCCGCAATAATCTTATGGAAATTGGGTTTCTGTCAAATTGTCTGAATTTTTGATATGTTGTAGATTTTGTCATCCTGAACAAAAGTCTCCATGGGCACAAAGTGCCAAAATGAACATTTTGGCAGCTACGGAGCTGCCAAAGCTCCCCTGACCCGTTGCAAAACTATTCATTTTCAATACTATTTACAGATGTCAAAAGCATATTTTAATTATTCTAATATATAGGGTAATGTTTTTGAGGTCACTGGATTCAACCCTCATGTCAGATTGGACAAATTGACCGTTGACAGCTGTCAGCGGTCAATTTGTCCAATCTGACATGAGAATTGAATTCAGCGACCTCAAAAACCCAAACTCTCAATGTGAAAAAAGGATATTTACTTTTATATTCCTCGTTGACAGTCAATTGACAGCTGTCAACTGTCAATTTTGCCAATCTGGCATGAGAATTGAATTCAGCTCCCTCAAAAGCCCAAACTCTCAATGTAAAAAGAGAATATTTACTTTTCTATTCTTCGTTGACAGTGTATTGACAGCTTTTAACGGTCAATTTGTCCAATCTGACATGAGGGTTGAATCCAGTGACCTCAAAAACATTACCCTATATATTAGAATAATTAAAATATGCTTTTGACATCTGTAAATAGTATTGAAAATGAATAGTTTTGCAACGGGTCAGGGGAGCTTTGGCAGCTCCGTAGCTGCCAAAATGTTCATTTTGGCACTTTGTGCCCATGGAGACTTTTGTTCAGGATGACAAAATCTACAACATATCAAAAATTTAGACAATTTGACAGAAACCCAATTTCCATAAGATTATTGCGGGGTCCTTTATAAAATCAACCCCATGATTGATGCTTCTATAGTAAGAAGTTATAATTTTGGATATGACAAAAATACTAAATTAAAAAAGAAAAATACATATAACAATAAACGCTAAAAGTGAAAATTATAGACATTTCGGGAGGTTGAAATTCTCAATAATCTTTTTCAAATTTGAAGTAAATTCATTATAACATTATGAAATTTAATATTTTTGTCTATAGTAAATCCTTCCAAATTGTTTTACGTTTATCTGCTTTCAAAACATCGTAAAAATATAATTTTAAAAATAAAACTACACATTTGCCTTTCAGTAACGATAGGCAACTGAAAGGCATAAACCTGGAGTTAGCAAATGCAAATGTTACTATTTCTTTCGTTCTTTGGTTTTCAATTGTAACTATTGCACATAAAATATAAAATATATCTACTGCGGTATGACAAGGTAAAAGGTACTACTGTGCTGGAATATAAAAGAAAAATGATAATTTATATTCTTATTAAGTAATTTATTAATAAGATACTGGTACTTAAACTATTTATAGAGAATTTCCTTAAAAGAAAATCGTGAGAACTTCCACCTACTTCTACATCTCTACAACAGACGAGTGGCACATATAGTATGTTGCGAAACTATCAAGTAATTATTTCATAAAATAGAAATCCTTTTATTATAGTTTGAATTATATACGAGGTATACCACAAAGTAAGTACTGAGGCTCCGATGCTCTGTGATTTTTGTTTTCAACAAAATTGGCAACACTGCATTTAAGGCCGAGGCGTCAAGAGCAGCACACTCGCTCGTATGTCTCAGTTGAGAACTGTTGTAGTGGCGTGTTGAAATAAGTGCCGCTATTTCGAATTCCGCCAGTTGTCAGCTGAGGAGCGTAGTTCGGTTCCAGAGTAAAGAAATCAAAACTGTTTATGGGCATGTATACAAATAGTGTCGTAGAGTATAAAGCTGACAGAACGAATGTTCAAGATGATTAAGGAGAAAAAATCATGGCAACTGTGTTTTGGGACCGTAAAGGGATTCTTTTCATTGACGTTTTGCCCCAGGGGAAAACAATACTGCTAATTTTACATATTCAAGTCAGTAGAACTAATTGAAAAGTTGAAGCAAAGCAAACTGCAATAATACTTATAATAAATAAATGCTCTCATACAATGTAATTAAAGAATTGCAGACGCAATATAGAACCTTGGAACTACACTCTATATCTAAGACCATTAAAATTTTGTCAAACTAACGCAGAATACGAGTTACTTCATTGTGAACGGGGTTTCATGCAAGAATCCTTAATCCTGATGAATCATAAGAAGGCATTGAAATAAGATGTTTTATACCGACTCTTCGCTTCTCGGCTTCTTCTATTTTGGCTATTTAAGGCTTTCTGCACACGACGCATGTAATGGCGGTTTTCCACTAAATGGACAGTTGAGTTTATGTACTGTTTGTGTTTTCTAGAACCTGAAAAACAAAAACAAAACTGAAACAAACCCAAAACTCTTGTTTCCATCAAGCGGGCTACATTTTGTTCTAATTTTGTTTTTCTTTTCGGTCCTTTTCCACTGGTTGTCGCGAGGAAATCAGAACACATTTTTCCAATAACCAACCAACATGTTTAGAGATGACTTTTTTATTCTTAGTTATGGCTGGTTTATACTGAAGTCCTTGGAAAAAAAGTAAGTGTATACAGAGTGTCCCACCTCGAACTCCATCGATGAATATCTGGAAAACCGCTCTAAGGATTTTTTTAAAATTGTGATGGTATGATACGGACCGTGGGGCCCACCAAGTTAAAATATTTTCAAGGTCATTGTACTTCCGGTTATACCGCAAGTCGACACTAACTTAAAAATGGATGATATTTCCAAAAATGCAATAATATACAGGGGGTCCATTTAAAATAAGAAAGTTAGTATCAACTTCCGGTATAACCGTAAATACGATGACCTTGAAAATATTTTAGCTTGGTAGGCTCCACGGTCCGTATCACACCATCACAATTTCAAAAAAATCCTTCGAGCGGTTTCCCAGATATCCATCGATGGAGTTCGTGGTATATGTAGGGTTAAAGTGTTTACTTGGTTAGTTAGTTACTTTGTATTCTAGACAAGTAATAGTATATTACGTAATAAGTGTTGTAAAAAGCATTTTACGCACGAATGGAAAAGTTACGCACGACGCCGCGTAGCGGCGAGTGCGTAATTCTATGAGTGCGTAATTGCATTACACCACGTATTACGTACTATACTTTACCTACGACCACTACTTTAAATACTTAAAAACACATCGTCTGCGATCAATGCAAGATTCCTATTACGTCGTACGGTAAAGCACAGCTTGGTAAAAAAATCGCACAGTTTTCCTAGCAACCGCCTAGCAACGGTCAATACAAACAGTATTGTATTGGCTGTTGCTAGGCGGTTGCTAGGAAAACTGTGCGATTTTTTTACCGTACGTAATAGGAATCTTACATTGATCGCAGACGGTGTGTTTTTAAGTATTTACAGTAGTGGTCGTAGGTAAACACTTTAACCGTACCTACACATATTGAACTGCTCCAATTTAGATAATGAGTTTTTTAATATTTGTGTTTGTCTATGTAATGTGTAATGTTGAGCGTCAGTGGAAATATTATAAATTTTGACTATTATTTTTAGAATCAAAAGTTTAAGTTTCAGTATTAGGATGAAAATAGATGAATGTCAAAGAATGACAATGTAAGAGTTAAGTAACAGATTTGAAATTAAGATGACAATTAGATACAAAATGACAATTTAAAGTAAAATATAAATTTTGATGCAATATCAATCTAAATTAATAAAAGTGGTCATAAAAT